CATGTAATAAGAAACTACTTTGTATAAAACAAATATTTATTCCAGCACACGTTAACCGTTACAGAAAACAAAAATAATCATTATTGCAGAATGAAAAAATAAAACTGCAGTTTCCAACTATTCATCTCTGAAAAACAAACATGCTAAATGCATACAGAAAGTTACAGGTTTTCTGGGTGCAGTCATCGGATCGGGGCGGCCGGAACCTTGAATCAACTAACGCTAAAACACACAAAATGCATTACCTAAAATCGAGAACATTGAACTGAATAAATATCATTAAAAAAAGAAAACATTAAAACAAAAGTAAAATCCTAAAAATAAAAAAAACTGAAAAAAAAAAAAAACTTGGAAAGTTACAGATTCCATCAAGCCACGACTGACATTTTTGTCAGGAGGTTTAAAGTGTCTCCAGTCTTTCGATATGATGTGGATACGCGCGTGCAGACCCACCCACCGGATTCTTATGCCTGCTTGTGACTTGTGATAAATTGTCATTATCTATGTTCCCAGGTCTGCACCAACCCGCCATGGTCATTTTGAGAGGGATAACGAAGGGTCACCAGACACATTACTATACTGCGAGGGGAATTTATCAAAACTGGAGTAGACAAAATCTGTAGCAGTTGTCCAAGGCAACCAATCAGCTTCTCTCTTTCATTTTCAAAGCTTTAACTCAACAAACTGAAGAGAGAAGCTGATTGGTTAGGCAACTGCTCCAGATTTTGTCTGCACCAGTTTTGATAAATTCCCCCAAATCTCTATTTTTTGGTGGGGGGGGGTGTCTAGGAACTTTCTGATCTGGAAGGCATGCGAGCAAGATACTCGAGGTATAAGAACCCTGATGGTGATTAAAGTGACACTAAACTCAGGATTTAAATCTTCAAAAATACATTCGAGTAATTTAACTATTCCCCCCAACGTATCTTATTTGTGTATCACTCGGCTGTAGATCCTCCAATCATCTCTGAATTGGTGCCGACACTGTCCTTTCTTCTGGAGGGGGGCTACTTTTTCCCCCATGGTCCCTGTGTGTGTGTGTTGTAAAGTAGTCACCGATCCAAGCTCACTCCCGGGATGGACTACAATCTCATGTTTAGTTTACTGATGTGTATTGAGATTGTAGTCCATCCTGGGAGCGAGCTTAGACCTCCTAACATCAATAAAGACTATAGATAATAAAAGATTGGTAGAGCAAACAGTGGAGTGCCAGTGACTTCTTTGCTTACTATTGCCTAGGACCGTGTCGCTTTAAACACCGAAATCTCCCAATTTTAAATGGCAGCCGCTACGGCATCCATCAGGCTAGTTTGATAAGTGACAATGGCTAAGGGCTTTCCGCTGAGGAATCTCTAATGATTTGTCTACATAACTGGGGGGGGGGGGGGGGTTTTCCCACCAGAACATTTGTTAGAGCCGATCTGGTTATTGTACACCAGACGTAGCCAAACTTTAAACCTCCAGCTGTGGTGAAATCACAAATCCCACCCTGCATTTGCCTCTGTGAGTCATGCTGGTGGCCGTCAAGTCTTGCAATGCCTCATGGGACTTGTAGTTCAATAGCTGGAGTTCTCCTACCCCTGCTGAACACCAGCGCTGCTTTTCAGTGTGTCTAAGCGGACTGCCAATGAGTTTTCATAATGTACAATTTAATCTTCAAACTTTCCGTAACTTTAATATCACAAATTATTTCTTTCTTTCCACATACATGGTGGCAATATTAATAATATGCAATAACCCCTAGAGTTCATTACAGAGATGATTCGATGGGTTACAGTACATTACTGCTCTAGCATATATATTAAATCGCAAATACAGTGAACTATCTGAAACATTTATGATTCCTTATTCTGTTCTCCTGGAAGAATTCAAAAGTTTTCCTGAACCTTTTGGTGGGATTGTTTGCAACTACAGCGTGCGGAACAATCATCTCTCTGCTTCCCACTTAAGTCTTGCACGTCAGGCAAGGCCACAGAAATGTCTATATTTTGATCTGCTGGTGACAACATACGTCCGTATGTAATGCAAATGAGGACAGACAGGCCCCTCCAACATAATCAGAACTAGCAGGTACAAATCACTTGGCTTTTCGCATTACAATCTCTTGTCTAGGGGTTTGCCTAAAGCGGATCTTCCGCAGCAAATTCAAGGTGTGCTTTTTTATTTGCCCGCCCCCTAAAAAGCCATTTGCAGGAAAAAAAAAAAAAATACCTCAGGCCTGACCTCTGATGTCCCCCAGCAGGCACAAGTCACATTGGCTGTGCCTCCCGACGGAGCTGGAAGATTAAGATCCTGCAAAAATGGGCTTCAGCTCATTGCAAGAGATCATTCTTAAGGTGCCCATACACCTGCCGATTATCGTGCGATAATCGCGGGTGATCCCGCGATCGTACGATAATCGGCAGGTGTATGGCAGGCGTGCGAACGTTTCTACTGTACGGTCGCACGTCTTTTGTCTTCCGAGCACGCTTGAAAACCCGCCGAGAATGGGACGATTTTCGGAGGGTTAGTGGCGTGCTCTGAAGACAAATGCCGGACGGGCCGGTGTGCGTAAGCGCACACTGCCCGCTCAGCATTGGAATCATCGGAAGCCCTCCCCTCGGCGATCTGCCTGTCTAAGATGGGCAGATTGTATAAGATCTTAATTACATTACAACCATCGCACTACGAAAGTCGGTTGTAAGGTGTATGGGCACCTTTACAGAAACTCGAGCTCCCAGTCTTGCTGGTAAGCATGGAGATGTAATCAATGCCACCCGGAAGCATCAAGGGCCAGGGCCAAGGTATTGTCAAGGAGGAGGGGGATGAACAATTTAAGATGAAGTGCACTAATCCTTTTTGCCCTAACCTAGCCCACCCTCCACCTTCACAAATGCATACTAACTTAGATCTGATGGCTCTGGCCTCCAGTGTTTGTTCACATCCAGCCGATGACAGAAGTCACCCGCTTGATGAGTCACCAAGAAGCATAAGCACTTTTATTGATGTGTCACATGTGCCGGAGCCAACGTTTTGGGGCCGCGCAGGTTCCCTTTTTCAGGGCGACATTGTGACCCAACACTATTTGTTCACATTCAGCGACGCAAGTCTCAGGGCCCACACTAAAATCAGAAGGAAATTGCAAGTTAACGGAGGATCCATTCACTTGCAATTGAACTTTCCGATCCGTTGCCATGTTTTTGCTAACAGAAGGTCACTGCAAAACAAATGGGTTCAAACGGGGCTAGTTAGAGTGCACGTTCTACATTTTTCCCGCACAGCGTAACACAACGGAGCCCCATTCACTTTTCGGTGCCCTTCCGTTAGCATCCGTTCAAAAACGTATGTCGATACAATGGATCCGGTGTGAATGGGCCCTTGCTGTGCCTACGCATTACAGTCCCATAGACTTTTATTGAACCCAAGGCTGTAATGCACAAGCAAGGCAAGCAGAGTGAGATTTGCTCGGCTGGATCTAAACAAACTCTTGAGGCCTCAACAGTCAGATCCAGGCAACTATGCATCTAAGAGGTAGGTATGCTTGTGTGGGGCCAGGGGGGTAAAAGTAGCTGTTAGGGTAAGTCAAGTCAGAGCACAAAAAGGATAGGAGCACTTATCCTTTAACGTCAGTGGTAACAAATTTACAGCATCTATGGATGGCAGGAAAATAAAGAGTCATGCCCTGAAAACAGTTTCATATATATATTTTTTTTTTATAAACAGCAAACGATAGTTTGGTAAATGTTCACAACAACAACAAAAAATTTCCTTCTGTTTTGCATCCGTTCGGCAAAAGATTTACATTTAGCCAGGAAACCAAATGGTCTAAAAGTAAGAAAAATGGTAGATATGTAATTGCAAAATAAATACCTAGATAATTAAAAAAAAGATTGCTTTCATTGCAAAGGGAAACTCAAGCCATCAAAACGTGGAGGAGAAAACACGTAGCTGTATTTTAATCACCTGCGCGCATGCCAAAAACAGAGGAACGGTAATTTGGCAATGACAACAGAACCACGACCGTCAGCGGAGGGTTTAAAACGTTCAAACCGCAGCGCCAACGCGGCCTGAAAGCAAAATGTCTTATTTTCATTGTAATGGATGATGTTACTGTATCTGTACATTCCTTTCAGATGATCCTAGTGGAAAAATGTCAACGCTACAATTCTGGCTTTTTTTCAGGTGGGATTTGTGCGTCATTTTCAGCAGGTCCCTACGTGAAACATGAAAGCAGCTCAGAATCCGGCGTGAGAAGGTGAAACTACGGTAGGTTTATGAGACTGAAGAACATCTGGATAGAAAACGGTAATTACGTACAAAGGTAGAAAGAATGCTTTGTGTTAAAAGTCCGTTTCCAATTGGAAGGCGGCATTGAGCAGTACAGCCGTCGGCTGAGCGTCTCCATGCCAGTCTCTCCTCTACTAGTACATTCTCCCCCGACTGCGGTTCCCACGAGTGCCTCCCCAGCCTCTTCCTCTGCCGCCGCGAAATCCTCCTCTCTGTTCTGTAAGATACAAAATTATATTATATTATAGAAAGTTCAGTTACAAAATGACAGCACCCGATAGCTACACAGTTCAAATGTCAGAACACTGGCTTAGCGGCTAGCATTTCTGCCTTGCAGTACTGGGGTCCTTGGTTTGAATCCTGGCCAGTGACACTATCTGCATGGAGTATGTGAATGTAGGTGTAATAAGGATCTTAGATTTTAAGCTCCCGTGAGCAAGGACTCATGTCAAAGTACAATACGTGAAGTGCTGCATAAACGGTCAGCGATATATAAATGCCTGTAATAAGGCAAAACTGCCCAAATCGTTCCAACTCTTTCATGCGAGCTTTGTAACTCCCCCCACCTTGCCGTGTTCCATAGATAGCAGGGTGACGTAAAAGTAAAAATGACATTGTGAAACCAGAGGAAGCAATGTCAGTCTAGGAGAGGAGCCAGTACAACTGTGCAAAGCTGAAAGGAAGGTCGGAGGTCAGCTTTATTGGATTACAGAGCTGCATTTGTGCCCATTATACTGGCCTGGAGTTTTGCTTTAAAAAAGGTAGAGACACCAGAAGCCCAGAATCGTTCAGTGGCAGCCAAAGACCCCTTAGTGTGCATCTGCAAATCCAACAAGCGGCACCAGCTTAGATCTATCCCTAGAAGTGGCAGAGCAGTTCACAGAACTCAAACGTTTTAGTGAAGCTTCGTATTACTACCGTTACACTGCCTAGAACATTAGCCTGACAGCACTGTAACTACCAGATTGGCTCAGTGCTCAACCTCCCACTCAATCTGATTAAGTCCTGGTTCACACTGAGCGTTTTGTAGCACTTTTTCTGCCCTAAAAAAAAAAAAACATTCCACAAATCCCCCCCCCCCCCCCAAAAAAAAACAAAACATCCGAGCGTTTTGTCATAACAAAATGCCTGTTGCTGGAAAAAGTACAGGTGCTTTCTTTTGGCATATTATAGCTCATTTTAGCCCCATAGACTGAATAGGAAACGCTTGAAAGCGTCTGTTTGCACGTTTTTATGTGTTTTATGCGCTTTTTCTCATTATGAGCTACAATCTTCTCACAAAAACGCGATTTTTGCCTTACGCACATAAAACGTGCATCAAAAACATGCATAAAACGCTGTTGCCTAGGTGTGAACCAGGCCTGATAAGATTGGAGGTAAGTCATTATAATGACAGATTTGAAAAGTTATACTACCAATATTTTAAAAGACTTAAAAACACCTGACTGGACCCAAGCTTTTCCCATTTGGTAGATTTCATGGCTGGCACATTGTGAGCTTCTTTTTGCACTCACAGATCCAAGCACGAGTTTCCCTTGGACTCACCATAAGAGAAATTCCCAAGGCTCCCGCTGTATTTCCCACTGGGAGGGTTGTAGATTTGTCTGGCGTCTCTTTTTGGTCCCATTATAGGCTTTTTTGGTGGCGAAGAAGAGGATGAAGTAGTATCTTCAGTTGTTCTCTTTTGTCTGTAAAAAAAAAGAGGAATTATACCAAGTCACATACTTTGTACAGGTCTGTTCTCATTCTATGCTGCCGGGATCACTTGTAATATTTTCTCTCTTTGCTGCCTCTCTCCCCGCCGTGGTTTTCGGGGGTCACCCGCTGTTCTGGGGTAACCGGGACCACAGCAAATTAGATCAGGTTGGAGAGCGGGGAGCGGAGAACATTCGATCTCCGCTCTGCTCCGTCTGAGTACTGACACAGGAATGCTGCACTCGCAGCCTGTCAGGAGTTCCAGCACAGTGCTGTGCTAGAACTCCTGTATTGGAGGTGACAAATTCAATAAAGAGAACCTTTCACCTCCAAATCACACAGGGGCTTGTTAGCTAATGAGGGGGTACAGGGAAGCTGGCACACAAGAACTGCCATATGCATATCTTTGCTGGCTCTCTGTAGTAGAAACACAGGTATCTGTAAGTGCTGAAAGGAGACTTCCTTAGGTGTATACAACAGTACTGCTAACAACAAAGTCCGTTTATTTTCCTCGACAGCTTTTGTCGCCATCAGGACAAGATCTCTGCATTGCGTTGTCAGACTCACCCAATGTCTGTTTTCTGTACTGGCTTCCAGGATAGCGTCACCGTGCTTTTGTAGGATGGAGGATTGTGGAACAAATCCTAAAATAAAAAGCACATTTTTGTAAAATGCTAATACATTAGGCCAATGAAGCAAGATATAAACCAGTACTGATGCCCACCTCAGATTATGCACTTTTTCTTTAAACGAACAAGAATATATATCTTTTTTTTTTTAAAGAGCCAGTTATTAGGCATGTTCAGATACCAAGTATCGTACTCGGTACAAGTACAGATACTTTTCCAGCTCCAGGACTACACTAGAGAAAAATTCAGAAGTTAGGAGGCAGCCGTCATTTGTAAGGAGCACACGGAGCTCCTGGGATTTGCACATCCCCATTTTAATATAAATTATATATATA